GGCCCTCCACGACTCCGGCACCGGCGGGAACCCATCACTAGGTAACTTCCCCTTATTCCCTCAATACTGCGTCGACGATCTCCTCGACAACTGTCCCTTTCCCAAGTCCGCACGCGCCGTACATTACCAGAATGACTCGGTCGTGGCAAGGCCGGGGTACTTTGCCCTGACGATGACGAATGGCATACATGCGGAGATGACTACGACGCAGCATGCGGCGCTGTTTCGGTTCGATTTCCCGGATACAGCGGAGCAGAAGTTGAGTCCGATGGTGTTGTTGGATTTGACGGATTTATGGGAGAGTAGGCAGAATGCGTCGATTAGTGTGGATGAGAGGACCGGGGGCAATAGGGCCAATGGCACGTTTTTGCCCAGTTTCGGGGCTGGGCAGTATGCTTCGTATGTGTGTGTGGATTTCGCGGGGGCGGAGGTTAAAGATACCGGGGTTTGGGTGAATGATGCCGGGGGTGTGGAGAGGAAGGAGTTGTTTGTCACTCGGGGGTTTAATAACTTCTATCTGCAGGCCGGTGGGTTCGTGAGGTTTGAGAGGCCTGATAATGGGACGGTGAGTGTTAGGGTTGGGGTCAGTTATGTGAGTACGGAGAAGGCGTGTGAGAATGCAAGAGTGGAGATTCCGAGTCCGTTGGAGGACTTTGATGCCATACGGGCAGCTGCGGAGGATGCGTGGAGGGAGAAGTTGAGTCCTGTTGAGATGACGCCTGGGAATACGAGTGCAAGTACTGCCCTGCAGACTATGTTCTGGACCGGCATTTATAGAACCATGCTGGATCCGCAGGATCTCACAGGGGAGAATCCCCTCTGGGAGAGCGATGAGCCGTACTTTGATTCTTTCTATTGGTATGTCCTCATCATCACATCACTGCAAGCGTGGTTGGTATACTGACATCTCCAGCATCTGGGACGCCTTCCGCGCCCAACACCCTCTCCTCACCATCATCGACCCGACCACTCAATCCCGCATCGTCCGCAGTCTCCTCGACACCTACCGCCACGAAGGCTGGCTCCCAGACTGCCGCATGAGTCTCTGCAAGGGCTGGACACAGGGCGGTTCCAACGCGGACGTCGTCCTCGCCGACGCCTTCGTCAAGAACCTCACCGGTATCGACTGGGACCTCGCCTACGAAGCCATGGTCAACGACGCCGAGAACGAGCCCCTAGAATGGTCCTACCAAGGCCGAGGTGGGCTCCAAAGCTGGAAGACCCTGAACTACATCCCCTACCACGACTTCGACTACCTCGGCTTCGGCACCAACTCGCGCAGTATCTCCCGGACATTGGAATACGCATACAACGACTTTTGCGTCGCGACTGTCGCCCGCGGACTAAACAAGACAGACGACTACTTGAAGTATCTTGCCCGATCGACTAACTGGAAGAACCTGTTCAAACCTGACCAACGCTCCTTCTTCCCGAATGGAACTGATACGGGGTTCGTGGGCTTCTTTCAACCCAAGTATCGCAATGGTACTTGGGCGCATCAGGATCCGATGGATTGTAGTCCCCTTGCCACGGGGCCGACGTGGTGCTCGCTGACGAGTAATCCGTCGGAGACGTTTGAGTCGAGTATTTGGGAATATCAATTGTATGTATCCCTTTCCCCCCCTTACCCTAATCCTCCCCTTTACATATCCCTCCCATAACCACTATCACTAACCAAAGAACTCTCAATTAATGGAATAGCTACGTCCCCCACGACCTCCCCACCCTAATAACCAACTACCTCTCAGGCCCAACCTCCTTCATATCCCGGCTATCCGCATTCCACTCCACAGCGCTAGCAGACTACAGCAACGAACCCGTCTTCCTAACCGTCTACCAATACCACTACGCCTCGCGGCCCGCTCTCTCCTCACGTCTCATCCACAGTCTCATCCCAACGGTATTCAATACCTCCCGGTCTGGTATCCCCGGCAACGACGACTCCGGGGCAATGGCGGCGTTCACGGTGTTTGGGCTTATGGGATTGTTCCCGAACCCGGGACAGAATGTGTATTTGATCTCGGCGCCATTTGTGGAGGAGGTTAAGGTTAGCAATGGGGTCTCGGGGGGTGTGGCCGTGGTGAGGGTGAAGAGTGATGTTGGGGTGGGAGTTGGGGGGAAGGTGGTGAAGAGGGCGTGGTTGAATGGGGAGGTGTATACGAGGTGTTGGATTGGTCATGAGTTTTTTGTTAAGGGGGGTGTGTTGGAGCTGGAGTTGGGAGAGGCTGATGGGGAGGATGAAGAGGAAAGTGAGTGGGGGACCGGGGTGGGTGAGGGACCGCCGAGTTGGGGGGGTGGGATGGAGGTGTAGTTGTAGTTGTAGATGCGTTGGTGAATGAGGATGGGAATTGGAGGGTATAGATGGTGATGTTGTGGAGTGTTAAGTAACCACTCTGTTGGTGGTGTGAAGCACTAGTCCAGAGGTTACAACGAACGGTAGTTCTAGATTTTATATATGTGAAGTAACTTTATAAGAGGATATAGTCAACAACAGCATCAATCTAAAGGATTAGTGGTAAATATATCAACTATATAACCTCCCCTTCACCGGCATCGTAAGATCAAACGAGGTGAACGTGCAATGACCATAATCTTCCTGACCACCTCCACCTTCACCTCCAGCTTCAATCATAGACCTCGTCTCTACACCTGTATCCAAATCCACCTGTACAAACTGATCTATCCCACCAACCTCGCCCCACGCAACAGCCTTAAGCCCCGCATCATCATCACCATGAGGAGGATGACACGCAGCACTAATTGCCGCACTACAATGTGCCGCAATCGGCATCCGGGAGCGAAACTTCTTCATCCCCAGTGCCAACAGCGAGGAAAAAGATACACCCTCCAGGATAGTAATGATAAAAATGGCGATAGGAGAGAAGCCGCAACCCTTAATAGAGCTATTCGGATCCTCATGGCCGAAAACATCATACACCGTGATGTTGACGTAGAAGAAGCTTTCAGAAAGCAGCCAGTGCAGCGTAACAGACATGATGAACAGCGGGATGCTGTAGCGGTAAGGCAGGGCGAGGTAGTACGTTGAGCGTTGTTGGCCGCGGGGCCAGGAGACTCGGAGGGGTTTGCGGTCGATGGCATAGTCGTTATATTCGGCTGTGACGAGCATGCAGGAGAGGAGACTGTTGGTGGTGAAGTAGATGATTGAGAAGACTAGTTGGGGGGTGTTGCTGAGAAGGACGAGGGCGATCATGTTGTCTCCTGGAAAGCGGATACTGGTTTGGGAGCTGGCGGAGCCGAATCCCAGGCTCCATTGCTCGGAGAGAGACCAGCCGTCTCCCTCGATAATTAGGTCGAAGTATATCAAGTAGGAGATGAAGAAGCAGACGGTGAACCTATGTGGCTGGTTAGTTTATGAGAATATGCGAGGCATGGGGCACGGACATGAGTACTATACTCGCCCAGCGGCACAGACTGGCCGCTCGAAACCATCGTTTTCGACGTGGTAGCATTCTCGGGGAGGCTTCTGAAGAATCTGCCTGCTCCAACATGCGACGGTTTTCCATGGGGATGTCTGTCTGGTTTTCTGGGTCACGGCAAATCCTCCTTTGTATGAAGTTTTTCCATCGGGGCAATGGCTCCCATCGATGCGGTCCTCGATCCATATCAGCCCGGGACATTAGACAGCGGCCCTTAGTTGTGGGATCTGGATGGGCGAGGAAGGACGATATGGCATCTCCTACTCGCAAGAAGATCTCAGAGCGGTCCGTTTTGGCAGTCAAGTACATGCAGACTACCTTGGTGAGGTTGAACAAAATCACGGCCAGCGCAATTGATGGACTGAATAGAAGCCGACACCGCTGGGTCATGGTCTTTTCCATACAGTAGGAGATGGGGATTTCCGGGGTATTAACAGCAATTGTTCGTTTAGTCCATTCCAGTCCTTCGGCTGTCCACCTCCCTTCATCAATTAACTTCTCAACGTTGCTTTTCCCCACATTCTTGACGTAGTCATATACTGATGAGTAGCTCCATTGGAGACTGCTTGCATTGCCAAAATACTGTCGCTCAGCCACTAAGATCAGGGTTCCGAGATGCGTGTTAAATTCCACATCATACTTTTTCACGCACTCAGCATTACTCAAATTCTGAAAGGTACCGTTGAATATTTCGGTCTGAATCAGCTCCGGCGTGCTGCCGATGGCTTTCACAAAGGCGCCCCTTCCTCCCGCGCTGACCAAGGACTCAGTCGGCGTTAGATCATCAGGGATGAGTATTGTGCCATAATCGAGCGCAGAGATGGATGAAAACACCACTGAGTTATATCTGATACGCAAGTTAGTGGTGGCAGGGTAGGAGTCACTATTACTGACATCATATGAATAGGGACTGAGCTGAGAAGCAAAACCAGCCAGAGAAGTTTCCGCTTGATACTCATGGCTCGGAAGTTCCGAAAACTGATCACCCCAATATCCAGCCAACGACGTTTTCTATGAGCTTTGTCGACATCTGTGCGGGATGGACCCGACACGCATTGCATGGCGTAGTTACTGGCCTCGAGGAGGGAGGTGGACAAGACGTTGATGACAACATGGATACCCGTTGCCCATCTACTGGACAAAGTGCAATTCCCATTGTACAGTTCAGTGCTAAGGAAACCATGCGAGTTGGCGCTTTGGGAATAGCTGATGCCAATGGCAATGAGCGCTAGCAGGATATTCAGAACCGAGATGCCTTCGGCGGCCCATGTACCGAGGAGGACACCATGAATCCACTCCTCGTCGGGATGTGCAGCAGACGATGAAGTTCGGGATGAAAGGAGCGTTGCATATCTGGCACGGACAGGCCATTTACAGGCTTCGGATGAGTCAGCATCATTGTTTGGTGGCTCGTGTCCGTTCCATATTGTTTTGATCCTCATATCGAGCCGGGAGAATACAGGAGCACAGATCAGATGGCTCTTTCATTTTTTTTCGGCACTTTAGCCACGCTATCTTTGCATATGTATTTATGTTTTAATGAAAATTTATTATCTCTCGGCCTGTTCAAGCAAACGCCTCCTAGCTTAAATTCGGTGCACATTGACCAAGCCCAATAGTGCTAGTATTGGTCGGCCCGGCGTTCCGATTGGTGCTGCGCCCTGAAGACGCGTATACAGGAGCTTGAAACATGCTTAGCATGTAGTAGCTCGAGCCATGACTGTGGGTATTGCAGCAGTTCTTGCTCGACGGGGCTGAAGTGGGTCAAGTGGCGAGCGCTAGACAGTTTTGAACAAGTCCGAATCTTCGGCCAGTTAGCATATTGTCGCCAGTTATTTTTTTTTTTTTTTTTTCTATCACATCTAGGGAAGTCCTATAGTTAGTATATATGCATTGTGTGCTTGCTGTTTAAAGGTGTACTATGAGTCTCCATCTTCTTGCTTCGGGGTGGGTCAGTGGAGTGGATGTGAATCACTAAATACACCCAAGACGTAAAACTGGAAACCCACTCGATTGGGCACCTACATGCCAGATAAGAAAATATCAAGTGTGTCCAGGGCAATGCAGGAGCAGTCAATGGTCGAAATATGAACCGTATGCAGCTGTAAGCGACAAGTGGGCTTCAGGCTAATGGTAAGTAATAGGATCATTCCCTCATGGATTAAGGTTGTGGAAAGTGCACTTCGCTTGAAACATTTCCTTCAGTTGGTACTCTTCTTAGTGCCTTGCTTTAAGTTGACTGTATCTAGACTGCTACCTGTATGGTATACCGTTCCGATTGGAATGACCGTCGACGCGACATCACCTCAATAGTAAGATAACAAGGAAATACTATAAGTATCGACTTGTTCGATGTAAGGCCAGCGTGGAAGGTTGAACACATGCTGTGCTTGTCTGGCCAAACTCATTCTATGTGCCCCGTAATCTTGCGGGACAACATCAGGCTGTGTTATCTACACTGAACCATGTTGCAAATGAGCATCCGTTCGGGCGACCGGTGGCCAGTCACGGTGTTTCATCATATCAACAGGTGGCACGGTTGTCGTGACCCCCGCTTGCGAAGGATGAAGCCATAGCGATTCTGTGTGGAAGTGTGGCTCGCTACTTCGGCCCTGTGGGAAGGTGGTAAACGTGATGGAGTATACAGGGTGGTCAGCCGTCGTTGCCGGAGTTGGGCTGATAACAAAAGTGTAGATGCGGGCGTGATCTGGGGGAAGCATCTCTTTATATATTGCACCTTCCTCAAGCTCCATGATCCGTGTGCAGACGGCGTGATAGTTCGGGGTATAGAAGATCAGTTCTTGCTTCGGAATTCGTTGTAGAAGACCCAGGGCTCGACGGCGAAGGTCCGGCCAGCGGCATTTCCAGGCGACGGCCTGCAACGGATACAACAGCTGTACGTCCAGACTTATCGTTTTGGAGACATCATCCGGGTAGTGGTCTGAGTCACTGAGCAGACGTTCGGCAATTGAGACAATATCCTCGTAGACAGCGCGGAAGTCATCCCAGCCGGATTCATTGGCCACACGATACCGATCAAGTCCTAGACGGTAACAATACCATAACATGCGAGTAGCATCAATCTCGTTTTTTATGGCCCGTCCGCATTCCGACTGCTTCCGTTGCACTAGCAATTCAAAGCTTGCCACCCATCGCTGGGCGGCATGCTCAAAAGTTTCGGCCCATTGCTGCACGGGTGAGTGCGGGAAATTCGTCAGTCTGGCCAACTCTTGCCGGCTGGGGAATTCTCCGATGCAGTAAAGCATCAAGTCGAGAAGGGCGATGCGTGCCTGATGGAATGTTCGGAACCGCCAGTTCAATAAGAGCTTGCCTTGAGCATCCACGGGATTGACATGTACTTTTTCTTGTGGCGCACTGACGAGGTGTTTGAGTGCCGACATTTCGTACGTATTCAAAGAAAAGAAGTTCAATATAGGGGCCAATTCAGCATCCACCCAATGTGTCTGAGAACTCTTGGCGCAGCAGGATCGCTCTCGATGCGCCCGCCAGGACCGCACCAGATTCAGCCCGCTTGTGATATGCGATGTAACCCCAGTAGCATTTCCTCGGAGAAACTCGAGAGACGCGAACAAAATGCCGGCTGCTATGACTAGAGGCACCGCGTCTATGCCTGATGAAACCTTATCAATGGTAGTGCGAATGGCCCGGTTATAAAGATGTAGTGCCAAGTCGGGCTTGGAAGATTGCCAACGGTGTGCCATTGCCGGAGTCGTAGACATACCCTCTGCTTCATACAGAAACCCAATTGCAGCAATAGCTTGGCGGATCGTAGGTTCGGTCAGGCTGAGCTGTAAAACCGTGCGGGTCCAGAACGAAGCAGTGAAGTAACCAGCTAGATGCGCTGCAGACTTGCGAAAGAAGAACTCGAGGGCTCGGGACTCAGCCGGACTGACAAACGCAGTTACTTGTGCCAACTGCTTTGCGATGCGTATCGAATAAGGCATGGACATATAACCATCACATTTTCGGTTCGTACTGGTACATCTATCCGGGAGGTTAGTGCGGGGTTTCCACAGCAAAGGCGTCATCCCAATGTTTGCATACCGAAGACAAGCCGGCTTGCGTTCATCACATTTGACGCGACGGATCCTGCCGTGGCCGCCAGATGAAGGGTTTAGCAGACTGACCCAGAAGAGCAGGTAGACGGAGGGTTTCTCGCTCACCGACATGTAATGCAGCCCTTCCGCGACCTGGTAGATCCAAACCGTTGCCGCTGGTGCGGGGAAGAGTCCTCCGCATTCATTCTTGTCGAAGAGAGATGGAAGATCTGAGCAGTCACGTTCAGATTCGAGGACCACTGGTACCATGCACCTTGGATTTTCTTCTGGCTGATTTGTGTTCTGCAATGCTCAACCTGCTCAATGGCCCCCATAAACCGCCGTCACGTGGTCTTGACAGGGATCTGGCCGCATTTCGGACGTTGACTGGATGAATGGGATGCTAGTCGCCCGTAGTGGAAGACCGGGCATCTGAGCCCCACTACTCGTTCAGCATGAGGATATACTCAAGAAAATACCTGCTAAAAATGCTTGCGACTAGTGATGAACGGTCATCTCGCACGTAGGAATGCTGTGAAGATGTAAAGCAGCAGGTGCGATATAAATTGATGTATAACAGCCTCGAGTTGTTTGGAGAACACCCATTGGAGATGGAAGCAGAACGTTTGAAGAGAAAGTCTGTTGATCATAGTATACAAGTAAGACCATAAGTGCCAGATAGTATATCCCGTACGGTGTATGACGCTCAAGGCTGGAGGACATTCTTCCTCCCTCGTGAAGCAATTCGGGGTCCTGAGTGGGGACGATGAGTTGCTGCTGCTTCGGACTGGACAGGAGCCTAGTGAAGGGTTCTCGAGCTGACCTGAAGGCTCAGTAAGCGGACTCTTAATCAATTGTGAAACAGGCAGCCACGCGGATCAAAGAAGACCCAAAGCATTGCAAATGAATGGTCCTTGTGGACCGGTCCATCTAAGAATAACATAATTTGTACAACTAAAGTTCCACAGGATCCGCCCATGTCAGGTACATAGCTGAGTAAGCATGATACCACCAATCAGCAGCCTTGTTAGATAAGCTGACACCGGCAGAACCTGCCACAAAGGCCACAGGCCCGGCACCAGCTTCCATTCCCCGAACGGCGAGACCCGATCCCGATAGATGGTGGATAGACAGTCGGGTTACCCGCAGCTCTTGTTTCTCTTATTTCCATCGTTCCATCTCCAACAGCCATTTTCTATTATATTTCTGCATTTGGGCTTGGTCTGTCCGCTGCATTGATACTCTTGCTATCGGACTGTGTGCCGTGGTCATTCTGATGATTCTCACCCCACGCACTATTAGTACTGCTTAACCTATTCATTACAACTAAAGACTACCAGTACTATCGTCGCGCAGCTTCTACCTTAGCCGGAACTAGATAAGTTTGCCCTTGACGAACTACGTCATTCCCCTTCCGTGCCTGGCACTCTTCCGAATGCCCTCCCGCCGCAGTCATACCAAGTCCCGGAAGGGTTGTCTGCAATGTAAGAAACGGCATGTGAAGGTCTGACTTCCTCTCTTTCTCTTCTTTCTCTTCTCACTGGCTCGCTACCTCTTCCCGTCCCCCGGAGTTTATACCCCATCGCAGTCGTCGGTATAACTATACTATACATTCTGTTCCATTTCTCCCAGCAGTATCATTCGTGCTATCGGTCTCATGCTGACCCACGGAGTAGTGCGACGAAGAGACACCACGATGTGGCCTGTGCAAGAAACGGAGATTAGATTGCACATACCCTCCATCAAGTGAAGCGGACAGCCAGCATGCATCCACACCCCAGGATATGCCTGACGCGTTTCCTGGTCCCGAAGGAGAACCGCAATCAGACAGGATGCTTGAGATGAAACTATTCCACCACTATGTAACAGAGACATACATCACGCTCTGTCAAGGCCGTCTAGATGCTCACCACTTCCAAGTGGTTGTCCCACGGATCGCGGTCTCTCATGCCTTCTTGCTGGACAGCCTACTAGGATTGTCTGCTCTTCATCTAGCGTACCTGAACACTCACGATAACCGTTCATGGCTAGAAATCGCACTCAAGTACCAGAACCGAGCGTGTTCAGCATTCACCCGTGTACTCGCAGAAATGACTCCCGAGAATTGCGCACCAGCCTTCCTGTGCTCCATCTTCATTATGCTCTGCGCAACAGCCTACCCGTGTGTTACCCAGGACAAACATACATTCGAGCCTCTATCCCATGTTTTGGAGATTCGACAGCTCATAGCGGGCTGTGCGTTTCTTTTCGAGCAGCTTAGCGGCATGGAGTATCGGGGCGACCTCCAGGGGTGGCTGAAGTATAAGGATGGCGAGGTCGACCAAGATGGAAATCCCTACCAGTACTTGCCTGCCTTCTTTCTTTCGACAACAGGATGCTAATATGTCCCTAGTGTACAGGAATCTCAGATCAAACTACGCAGGTATGTCTCTAAGATCTCCGCGGGAACTTAGTCAAGGAATGCTAATAGCTACAAGTGCCATCATGGAGTCTTTGCAGCGGGTGCAAGACAAATTCACCAGCCTTGGTGGACCGAACCAGACTGCATACCAAAATACGTGGGATATTCTTCATGAAGCCATCAAACGATGGCCGTTCGGTGGCCCAAACGGTGGCATCATTGCGTGGCCCATAAACATCAGCGAAGACTACATTGCTCTGCTGAAAAGTGGAGACTGGGTGGGCCGCGTGCTATTTCTACACTACGGGGTAGGATTGCACCTTCTCTCCGACAAGTGGTTTGTCCGCGACTGGGGCCGGCGTCTTATTGAAACAGTCCTGCAATCGGAGGAAGATATCCCCCCTATTTGGATCGAAACTATTACATGGACAAAGGAGGCCGTGGAGCTCTGAAGGTGATAGGGGCAAACGAAACTGTTGCGGATGGGCTCTGCTATATACGGGAGGACAGCGCAGATAGCGACAATGATGTTGCAGTATCAAGTAGTCAAAAGTCAAAGCAAAGATGTGAGGTAAGGGTTTCTGTCAAGTCTATGGGCGATTACATACCATGACTCGACGATCCGGGGAACCTCAACGAGCTTGGCGTGATGGCTGCACTTCAATTGGAGAGGTCACGGTTCGGCTCATTACGGTGAGCAGGCCGAACCCGGCCAGCGTTATCGCGTGACTTGGGTCCGCGGGTGGCGGCTGACTTCCCGTTGGCGGAACCGCCCTCGATAAGCACGACCCAAGAATGCGGAGTCCCAGTCATGACTCTTGATTGCAGGCGGGCATCCACAATCCCTCGCTGCTTATCTCGGTCAGGGCTGCCCCCGATATGGCTGGGGTGAAGGCTTTCCTTATTTCTTATTTCCCTGCGTTCGCTGGGGCAGGTTCTTCCCCCTCCCTTGTACTTTCTTAGGGTAGTGTATCTGCGAATAGGGCGTCCTTTAACTCTGGCGGAAAGGCTCACCAGGGCTCTCCCATGCTGATCCTCCGCACCTGCTAAGTCTCGCGGACGTATCTACCCTGTCGCTTTGACCCTCCCCATCCGACTTTGAATTTCTTTGCAACATGGAGACCTATCGGCCAAAGAAAAGTTCGAGCCAAGATGCGGAGAAGCAGGTATTTAGACCGAGTCGCTCTGTCGACCCTCTTTCGTGCAACCTTGCGCGATTATTGAATTGTGTTTCTAACCCGCTCTGTTCCTACAGCCACTTCTCGAAACCTGGGAGACCCCGGCTGAGCGATCGCAGTGGACCCTGTTACATGACAAGCGACCCAGCGCTTCAACTATGTTCCGCCTTGCGAAATTCACGATATTGTCGACGCTACTCCTCACCATAATAACGATACATCTGCCAAGTGTGCTCACCTCGCCTCTTGATTTTGCGACTAGCCGGCTTGACCGAGCGAGTAAATTGGAGGATGGGAAGCGCGGTGCAGTGGCGAGCGAAAGTGCTATCTGCAGTCGACATGGAACAGATATTATAAACATGGGAGGAAATGCAGCTGACGCGGTGAGAACGATCCAACCGACCTGTCGTCATGCGGCACCCTGCTGACTTCAGTCTCAGATGGTTGCAACAATGCTCTGCGTTGGAACTGTTGGTGAGTTGGCCTACAATAACCGGAGAAGTGCTTGGACCTGATGATAGTTGGAAGGCATGTACCATAGTGGAATCGGAGGAGGTGGATTCATGCTGGTCAAGACCCCTGAAGGCACCTTTGAGGCCATCGATTTCCGCGAAACTGCCCCAGCGGCCGCTTTCCAGGATATGTTTGAGAATAATACGAAGGCTGCCGTTAGCGGGGGCCTTGCAAGGTGAGCATTCTTGGGCTCTTTGATGCTGCAATAACTGATGTAATCGAAGTGCCGTTCCTGGGGAACTGCGTGGTCTCGGGTATCTCCACAGCAAGTATGGCTCGCTCCCCTGGTCAACCGTTGTGCAGCCCGCTATCCAAACCGCACGGGAGGGGTGGTCAGTCGGGCATGACCTGGTCCGCTATATGAACGCTGCTGTCGGGGATGACGAAGACTTTCTGTCTCAGGACCCTACCTGGGCGCTCGACTTTGCTCCCAATGGAACCAGGCTCGGTGTGGGTGATACCATTACGCGAAAACGTTATGCGGCCACACTGGAGACCATCGCAAACGAGGGCCCCGATGCCTTCTACTCTGGATCGATTGCAAAGACCATGATAGATGCGGTACAGAAAGCTAACGGTACAATGACGCTTGAGGACTTGGCCAATTATACGGTCGCTATCCGCAACATCTCAGAAATTGATTATCGCGGCTATCGGATTACTAGCACCCCAGCCCCTTCCAGTGGTATCGTAGCTCTGAACGTTCTCAAAGTTCTGGGTACTTACGATAACCTTTTTAGTCCGGATACTCTGAACCTGAGCACTCATCGATTGGACGAGGCTATACGGTTTGGATATGGATTGGTACGCTTATCCGCTCTAGTTAACTAGTAGCCAGCTGAATCAGTGGAGGCGATGCTAATTTGTGATATAGAGGACTAATCTAGGAGATCCGTTCTTCCTCGATGGCTTGGATACGTATCAGGAAATGATGTTAGCGGATTCCACTGTTGAAGAGATTCGAAAGAATATATCCGACCAGCATACCCAGGCTGTGTCTGCCTACAATCCGCAGGGATATGAGAGTCTTGAAACGTGGGTGAATCTTGATGGTACCATAGTATTATCAGACAACTGACCTAAGTAGACCGGGTACTTCCCATATTGCCGCCATTGATCACAGTGGGCTTGCTATTTCCGCGATCACGACCATCAATTTGCTTTTTGGCTCCAAAGTCATGGTTCCTGAGACTGGTATTATAATGAATAATGAGATGGATGGTATGCTTCATAATTGCTCCCGCTCACCCCAGTTACTGACTTATCCTTGAGACTTTTCTATTCCTAATTCGTCCAACTCCTTTGGCTATATTCCGTCAGAGGCAAACTTCATACGACCCGGGAAACGCCCACTGTCCTCTTGCACTCCGGCCATTGTTACCCATCCTAACGGAACAGTGTTCTTCGTCGCCGGCTCGGCAGGAGGTAGTCGGATTATCACTGCCACCATCCAGAACATTATCCATGTCGTCGACGAAGGTCTTTCAGCGGCAGAAGCCTTGGCCCAGCCGCGCCTTCACGATCAACTGGTCCCGAATCGTGTCACATTCGAGTACGATTATGACAATGAGACTGTGTCCTTCATGGAGGCAAGAGGTCACAATGTGACCTGGGTAGGTCCAGGGGAGAGCACGGCGCAGGCCATTCGAGTTTTACCGAATGGAACCTTCGATGCTGCAGGGGAGCCTAGACAGGCTGATTCTGGAGGGTTCGCTGTCTGAGGGATCTATAATGCATATATGTCCACCCTGACTATACATATCTGAGGGTTTTATGAGCGATACCTTCTGTCTTGGATTTACACTTTTGGACTTGAGTTGCGAGAGATAAAGTATACATATAGCATTAGACTTGAATATCGAGACGAATTATGACAATATCCGAGGCAGGTATGTCCTGCTAATATTATACGACGCAAAGAAACGTCTACTCGACTGCCCCGCATGGTATCTCCGGACTTTGTTGCGGTAGGGACAACCCTACCCAGGCACATCACAACGTGTGAATACTTGAAAGAAGTAGAACAGTAATCCGTTACGCCGACTACAATCCCTGCAGCCTGCCACCCCCTTTCACTCCTTCGAGTCGATCGGTCTGATGCGAGTCTGTAACAGATGCAAGGACCTGACATGGAAGGGGCGGGACACATCAGATGGCGGGCGTGATCTATCAGAGGTGGCCCGTGCGCTGACCGGGTTCCGCGTCGGCGCGCGCAGAATGAGGAATGTGTGTGTCTCTTTGTTCCAGTGGCTTCCAGTTCATCCTCGCCTTGTGGTCGTCGGTTGTGAATGACTTGAGATATTATCGTCTTCCGCCGATTGGATGAATGGCTTGAAGACTTATCATTTGGAAATCCTGAGAAAGGCTTTCGTCGTGTTGGATTCGTTCACTCTTTCGCGGTCGATGTGGCTGCTCTAGCTTGCGCATATGGCTGTTGGAGTTGCGAGGTTTTGGATATGGTGCATTGGTGTTACTCCTGTAAGTGGATCTCCTGCAGATAGATGGAGAGAGGTATGGCGTACTCATTCACTAATCAATTCACTCCCTGTGTTAGTCTTTTGACTCTTCTCTCTCGAATTCCTGACCATGCGCCTCTCCTTCCAACAGACCGCTGCACTCTTGTTATACACACCCAGTCGGCATCTACCAAACGAAACCTAGCAGATAGACCGTCAATAATACACAACGCAGCCATGGCAGGTGGCAAAGGAGTCCCCACGTTCCCTTTGGTTCGGATCTCGCCTCCACATATCAATGTCGACCTCCACAATTCATTCGATGAAGTGACCCAACGCACGGTGGATCAGATACTTTCAGACGAGGCAAGCTTTGAGAACAGCTTTGACGATTATAGCGGTAGCGATGGTATAAACGGAGAGGATGATATGACACGAAGCGGGGGTCACCGCACCTGGGCAGTTACCGCTGCTACGCAATCTGCAAACGTGGACTCGCCTTATTTTCCAAGCAGAAAGCGCTCGAAGACACAGAAGGTGGCACAGAGACACATCAGTCGCATGGACTCGAATGACGAAGAAAACGATACCGAGTCTAGTACGAGTGTGGTTGGGCCTAATGGACACACAATCGTCGATGATGGCGAAACTCTGGATGACGCCTCCGAGGAGGACATCGTCTTCGCGTCTGTGGATCTAGATAAGAGGATGGACCTGCTTACCTTCATCAGCTCACACCCTTTCATGAAGAAAGGCGAATATCCTGTGCTACGATCCGCGCGACGAAAATTCGTTCGTGAATTACGTCGAAAGAGTCGATCGCTTGGTATGGAAGAGGCTGATCTTGGAAAGCTCGTTGCATATGTCAGAAAGATCTACCTTGAGCTCTATGGCAGTGGCCAGATGAGTCTGGATGGTTCTGGATTTGGCGAGGAGATCAAGGATGGGCAAACAAGCCCACCGAAGTCGTCAAGCAAGGACAACAAGAGGAAGCGAGGCACCGGCAATGATCAGGTGACAACATTGAAACCGGAGGAAAAGAAGACTACATCGAAGAAAAGAAAGTCGCTCGAACCCATCACAAATGGACACCGTAAAAGGTGTGAAACTGATGGTTCGGACACAAACATTTCGACAGCGAAGCCTCCCACGTCTGATTCCAAGGTCAGCGGGGAAAGAATTACAGATGCCGCTAAGGGCATGCCGGCAATTACTATTGATCTATGCCCGAGTGGTAACGAAAGTCCCGAGCCAGTCACCACGCAGAATGTCCCGGTCAAATCTCCAATTGCTGGACAGGCCGCAGATAGACATAATGATGAGAAGCATAGACTTCCATCACCGCCACATTCTGAGGAAGGATATAAACAAAGCTCCGTTGAGAAAAAGACCACTCAATCCAAGGAGGCGAATGCCGAAACACTCCCATCGCAGCAAGCATCAATTAAAAGGTCCATGACACTTCACTCCTCTCCCAAATTCCCAGGCCAGCACACCATTCGTGATTCGGAGGACGAGGAGGACGAGGGTGAGGAGGATAAGAAGACTGGATTATCTCAGCCGGTTTCGGCGAAGAATAAACTCCCCTCGGCTACGCAAACCAAGCAGCCTGAATCTCTGCAGAGCGATACAACGCAGCATCCCGATCGTGTGCTGTCCAAGAAAGAAAAGAATAGAAGGAAGCGTGATAATCGCAAACAGCGAAAGAAGAAACAATTTCGCGCAAGCCTTACGAACACTGAACAAGTCGCATTGTCGACGAGTGCAGATGACGTTCAACAAGAACGCGATTCTAAAGAAGCATATCAAACAGCAAAGCCCGATGCCACAGTGGTTGATGATCTTTCTATGTTGGACGAGGCATTCTGGAATCTGGAGGATTTTTAGATACCAATGATTCGCAAAGTTCAACCACCAGCGATGAGGTGAGGTCGAAGTATTTCATCGCCCCCCAGAAATTGCCGAGAGGGAATGTGCATTGCGGAGAGAGAAGAAATACCCACTCAGAGAATGTTCTTGGTCGGATACCCGAAGAGACCCGAATTCTCCTATCCAAGCTGAATCTTTCATCAGATTTCCTTTCTACTGATTCAGACTTGAGTGATGTACCTAGCGATTTCGATGGTATTCCATTTGATTACTCTCTCGATGTCTCACCTATTCAGGCACAGTGTGCATCAGAGGCTGTAGAGCCAAGCACGCCGACTAAAGCAACATCGATAGGGGCTGCTCCTGTGCTGCCTAGAACACCGCGTCTGAGGCCTCAGAAGATATCCCCATACTTTCCCAAACCTCTGGTCGACCCTGATTCATGTCTTCCGTTTCCGCCCATCGATGCGCCATCATTCGGTTTAGTACAAGAGCAACTTGCCCATGATCCTTTCCGCCTACTAATTGCCACCATTTTCTTGAACCGTACCCGTGGGGGCGTTGCGCTTCCAGTACTATTCAAAGTGTTTGATCGGTTCCCAACGGTGGAGGCGATGGCATCGACGGACCCGTCAACCCTGGCATCTATGATACACTGTCTCGGATTCCAGAACCAGCGAGCGAAAAAGTGCATTGCACTAGCCCAGACCTGGCTGGCCTTTCCACCTACGAAAGGAAAGCGCTATCGCAAACTTCACTATCCCTGCAAGGGTGACGGACGTGATATTGGCGCAGATGAAACCATTGCTGACGATGACGCTCGCGTGGGTTGGGAGATTGCTCACCTTCCCGGTGTTGGACCCTATTCTTTGGACAGCTGGAGGATCTTCTGCCGCGACGAAGTCCGGGGACTTGCCTCGGATTGGAGAGGTTGGGGAGCTTCCAAGACGTCTTTCAGACCTGAGTGGAAATCAGTGTTGCCGCAAGATAAAGAGCTTCGAGCATACTTGACGTGGATGTGGTTGAAGGAGGGCTGGGTGTGGGATAGACACACTGGAGAGAGAACACCGGCGAGTGAACGAGTGATGCGAGCAGCACGTCGAGGCGGGGTGGCTCATGAGGAGGATGGGAATTGGGTTCTGGAGATGTCGCCTGTGAAGAAGGCGTCGAATGGATTGACAGCATGGAGTTAAACCTTGGCATCTAGGGAAGAGGAGTTAATTGCTACGCTTATATGGGTCAAGTAGCGTTTTGATACCCTGTTAATGACAGACTATCTTTTGTTTCGGAGGCTTGATTCGGTTGATACCGTATATGTTCATATTATCCTACGGATAAAAACGTCTTTCAACATCGTATTCGATCTATCACATAACTACAAACTCAGGGTATAGTGTAGATGGCCACTCAGCTAATCCGGGCATAATTCTGATCACTTCAGTAATCACGGAGACAGGCTTCATCCTATTTGGATACGATCTACCAGCTTCCAGTTCGCTTGTGCTGATCCACTTGAAGAGTGAGTGAGTCATTGGGTAGCCATCTATCCTTGCCTCAGGCACAAGCCGAGTATACTGCCTGAGGCCAACGGGATCACGCCCCTCGCGATGAATTAATTTAATTTAATCGTGAACTTTGGATCTTCTTTCTTTCTTCTTGCTGGGAACAACAACCTCATTGGATACAAGAAAGTGAACCACTCCCAGCATTATCCCTCCCAGACAGCAGCAGCATCCAGACCAGCCCATCGCAGTGGCGTGGTCCTTGCTGCTATTTATTTGTACTGCCTTTCTGTGCTCCCCATTTGGGTTTCTATGCAGCACCACGTCACTGGTGGTCTCCGAGCTTCTAATTGCTGCTAAACTTGGGAAAATCCCACCACCACCGAATCGCTGCGGGGCTCCATCCTCTCCGCCAGCCCGTCTCTCACCGCAAAATCCCCCGTCCATCCATTTGGCTCGCCATCTTTCCCTTATGCATCGTCCCTGAACTACTCGCTATTTGATTGTTTTATTTCCTCCACCCCCTTCTTCTTCTTCGCTTCTGTCACCTTAGCTAATCGTCGTGATCTTCTTCACTTTCCTCTTTTCGTCTTTCCCCCCCGCCCGCCCGCCGCCCACGGGATGTTGCATGCCCTTCAGCAGCGCCTTTGGTGGTTTGGCACAAGCGCCTAGTCAGGCATTCGACCAGTGAGAGTTGCATTCCTCGATATCTCTTAAGCGCCAGACGAACATCAATCGGGTCTCGGGTCATCCGACTACACCCTTTCGTGACATTCTCTTGGGGAAGCTGACGACTACTCATCCGTCACTGCTCTTTACTTTTTTGATCATTACTTGAAAACGAGGTAACTAGACGAAAAAAGAATATATCAACCGATCGGACAGTGGGGACGAGAGCAGGAAACAAGGGGTGAAAAGGAAGAACGACAACGCTCTATTGCCGTCTTCTACCCTTCCTTTCACCCTCTTTTTCGAAACCTTTCCACCTTCTTCCACATAATGTTTCTACCGCTGAGACTAAATGAACGAGATCGCGATAGGGACCGGGAGAGAAAGACTTCTTCATCTTCGACCCTTTCATCCAAATCCATACCACGCAAGAATCGCTCGTCCCACGGACAGACCTCCCGCACTTCAACCAAGGAACGCGACCCCGACACTCCCACGGGCCGCGCCTCAACCCCTTCCACATCTACTTCCAATTCCCGCAAAAAGCGCCGCTCCTCCATGCCTGGGGTCGACAGCGCCAGCCACTCGGGCACAGCCTCGTTCCTCGAGTCGAGGACCAGCCTCCCATATCCGACCTTCTCCAAAGCCCACAGCAAAGAAGTCATCAGCAAACCGAACATCCCTACACCAGACCCGACCGATCTGACCGAGGGAGGTAAAGAAGGTAGCAATGGAGATGCGAAGACCCGTGCCGAGAATAACAACCAAGCGCCCCCCAGCCCGCCGCTGACAAGCGTGGACCAGCAATCACACAAGGCAAGCACTATTGGTAGTAAAGAAGAGAAAGGAGCGGAGGAGAAGCCAGAGAAGCCGAAAACCAAGATTCGGATTCGAGCAGAGTCCACGCGGTCATCCTCGAGTCTGCGGTCGAAGAAGGATGACAGTTCCAAAACGAGCAAGCCAACACGGTCGGAGACGGTAAAACCGAAGCGCTCCAGCTATGAGTCTGATTTGCCCTCACGGACGGCCAGTCGCAATTCGACCCGGTCAAAGATTGTCGAGGAAACGGCTTCCCCCAAGCGGTCATCCACTCATGCCACTCCCCCTCGCTCCCCTGCGACAGTGCGCGACGTTGGTCCGGACTCAGCAAATGGATCGGACGCAACCATTGCGCCGCCTCATCAGTCTACAGCTTCTCGCAAGCCGAAGAGTCCAGAGAAGCCGCCATCGCGCAATCAGACCCGATCGTCGGCCTCCTCTCGCCCGAGCTTTGGGGCTCGTACACCGGTTGACGCTGCCTATGATTATGGACGACCACCCACAGCGAGCTCTGCCTACGGTGCTCCACCACCGCCACCTCCTCCTCCCGAAGTTCCTGTCTCGATTCCAAAAGTGGACTATCTTCTACAGAATGGTGGGCTAGACCATCGTGTTCCGAAGTCTATGCTCGGCCCTTCTGTTCCCGAGGGTTCGCCGTATGCGCCATCGCCTTCTCAATCCGCAGCAACCAAGATTTTTGAACCGTTCAACAGACTTCTCGAGGATTACAATAATGTAATGGCCAAGAACGGGTCGCTAGCGGTTGCCACGGGGTATCGGTCTGTCGCGCGGCGCCTGCTCGATCGCTTGGAAGCGGTGTTTGCCCGTGACATTTCATGCGAGTACTGCAGTTGTCTGATGTGTGAGCATGAGACAATGGAAGAGCGTCCATCAGGCGTCAGCTGGGGTGAGGTATTGGAGCTTGTCTCGGGTCGTCGTGAACTTCCCAGCTGGCCGGCTTTCATATTGAACCCAGCTGTGGTTGACGCGAACTGGTCTGGGGAGGAACATATTCCCATGCAAAAGCTGGACATTGATGTGCCGGAGGAGTATCGCGACCACTTTATTCGTCAGTCGCGCAAGACGAAGGTTGCGGTGGACAAGTGGCTCAACGAGCAGTCCGGTCAGGCTACGAGCGCACCTGAGGAGGTAGATGACGAAACCCTGACCTTTGCCATCTTAACCCATCTCGGACCTCACGAACGTCAACTATTCTCCGCTCTTCTCGGCCTCGGCTCTACAGTGCCTACACCGCGACCGGAGGGACCACCGCGGCCCCGACCCGCACCCTTGGTGTCATCGTCGCTCGCCATCCAGCGACTGTACCGATTGACCTCCGCTCCGCGCGATCCAGAAGCTGCCATCTACATGCTGAACAATCCCGGCATGCACCATGTTCTCGCCACTCTGGCAGCAATCAGTGACGACGAGTGGGACATTCTGATCTCGGGTCGGTTTGATGGTTTTCTGCGGAGTGGTGCTGAAGACACCTTCCCCGGCGCACCAGGCTCCACCCCACCACGTTATAGCTACAGTCGATCCAACACTCCATTCACCACCGGCGGGATCTCGCGCGGTCCGACACCAAACCCAATTGACGGGGGAATCCGACCCGCTAGTCAGCCATATGGCCCATCTCCCTCGCCTGCCCCAGCTTCATTTGGTGGCCCGATCGCCCTGGACGAGGAAATGGAAATCGCAGCTCTGGCGGAGATTGAGAGAGACATCTACCTCGGTATGGAAGCACTTGAAGATGCTTTTGAGGCCCTTCACTGCAAGGCAGAGGTGGTGCGGCGCGCGCTCCGCGAACGTGGCGCAGGGCTGTCGATTGCAAATCAGAACCGTCGCGGTTCTTACGTGGAGGCTCGCCTGGGGACGCCAGCCTCCGGCTTAGGTGTATGGGATGATGGGGCAGACGACGACTTCTTAGACGACGCCGTGTCGTTGGCCCCAGATGACTCGGCCAGCAACATCAGCTCCAACCGCCGGCGCCGTCCAAAGCGTCGCACTGAACGACGAACACCTGCTCCTGTCGAAGAGGAAGACGAGGAAGAAGTATACGACAGCCGACGGGGCTGCCGGAGAAGATAATTCATCAAAGGAACTATTCCTTGACGGCGGCCAACTACCTTCAACTCATATACAAAAACAACACGAATAACGCAACCGCATCCGCATGGTCTCTTTATTTCAGTTTCATTTCATTCAGCGTCATACACGACATCTAAACGAGCGCACGGAACCACGAATGCATGAATTGCGACGAGACGAGACGAGATGAGATGAAATGTATCAACGCATTGAAGACTCGAGGAAGTCGAGATGGCGGGTGTGTATGTAAATGACATGCACGACACCTAATGTTTATGTATTTTAACGAAGTTTCTTTTTCTTCCTGTTGTTCTGTTCGTCCGGTTTTCTTGTTTCTCGATTCCCACCCATCAACTGCTGACAACGATAATGACTTCGTTGTACATACGCCCCCTCTGATGTTATGACTTTATGAATCGATGAATACGAGCTGCATATAGGTGTCCTTTTATATTTAGATATCATGCTTGAATAGTATATTTGTCTATACTATGGAAATTGGCTTTTAGCATTAAACCTGTTTACTCTCTGTGCGTCTCACTTGCTCTGTAGTTGATAGTGACATTAGACAGCACATATCTGAATGTTCCTAGATATGAATTGGATTGACTTCCCTCACAACAGGAAACCTCAAAACACTAGAATTCAACCACAGAAGTAAAAGGCAGCTCAAGAGGTCCGACGCCGATAATCCATTCAATTACATATTCTAATCGACAGTGATTAATTAAGTAGTATCTCAAATTAGTGTGTACCATGGTATCATAGTTTAGATCTATCTACCAGTGGTTGGCTGGTTGGTTGGTTGTTTAACCCGGAGCTTTCTTTATATAACCTGCTGCGTAGTTAAAGAAGTAGTAGTATCTTATATCTTATTATATATATAGGCTTTGGGGGGTTCAGTTGTCAGTTTATTTTGTATCCAGTCTTTTAGTCGTTGGGTACTATACTTCTCTTGGTATAAAATATATATATATCGCACCACCGGGGAAGTGTATTACATACATACAGACAGGTCTTCGATTTCTAGAGCATTGATAAATTAGATATATAGTAGATCTGTGCAGATATACATACTACTACTTAATGGTATTCCAAGCTCATGACATTGGGTTGTTGTTCTGGTTGAATGGCAGTAACGTGTATCCACAGGCGGGTGAAGAAGTACTCTATAGTAAAAGCATCGTCAACGGACGTCGATCAATAGTAACTACAATATTGTTTCCATAACTCATGAGACTTTGATTTAAATATATCTAAATATATCTACATTATTTCAATGGATTTCTTTCTTTCCCTGCTAACTCTTAATATTGATCTTTCAATTGGACTTATCTTCCTTCCAAAAGCAGCGAGAATTCCTGAAGGTAAATTACTAGTACATAATCAAGCGGGAGAACTATACTACTAATATCAAGTATTATTTCTCTTAATCTGCTTGCTAATTAGTGGGATGAATATACCGTCCATTTCCTCGTCAGTCAAACCAACAAGCTCGGCACCATTTGCCCAAAACCGCACGCACGGTGAGTTCGAAGAGTCATTAAAAACCAAGGCAGGTAATTCCATCTTGATCCACACTATTCCAGGAATGTCTGCCTATTCTGCGGGGAAGAAGCAGGACGGAAGGTTATAGAATACGAGGTGGGGGAATCCGATGGTGCGTCTTCCTTCACCCACAGACCAACGAAGGATAGAATCAAGTGAATACGAAGCGGGGAAAGATTCATTCAATGTGATTGATTGATTCCCTCTGGTTGTATCATTCTCAATATTTGTACCCCGCATGTGTCTTTGTGATGGCTTTGCATTGTTCTTGGGGCGTTTCAGTCCAGTTCCATACTGAGATATGGTGCCCCTTGATGACAACAGACGTGGTCCGGAGAGTGAGCTAGTAAGTAAGTCAAGGGTGACCAATGCATTGAATGTAGCCAAGCGTAGCGCTATGGTACTGCTTAAGGGTTGTCTCAGTCGTGTGTAATGCTCTCTGTCTAGATCAGTGAATCGATTCCTTCTGCAGAGGAAATCAAGCAAGCCCAGTACTGTCCATGGGGTCATTGCCTTCCCCTTTCTTCGTAGACGCTAATTTCTCACTCATCACAACAAGGTTCAGGGCATGAAAATGTGCTCCGGGCTAAGCCCAACTCAGTTATTCCTCATCGCAGTCTGAGTCGGAGCAATCCACCCCAGATTCGCAGCTCCATAGATAGGGTGGACGATTTCGACCTTCCGGATCAGCTTCGATATCCGTGCATTCTCATTACCTTATCATTTTCAAGTGATTGATTCTCGTGCTACTTACTGCATCTGGTTCCAGATCAGCTGGTGAGTATCCATGGTTCGTCTAGAAAATGGATCCTGTAGCCACAAGGTTCTTTGGTTCCGCACCCGGGAGGGGGAAAACAAATTTAGAATTTCGGCAGCAACCCTTCCGAGTAAGCACGGCTCGACTTGACTTGATCTTGGGTTTCTTGGGTTTAATAGACTATAGAATGTGAAGAGGGGCAAAAAGGGGAGGTCGGCTTTGCCCATTAACAGGGTAACACTAGTTGCGATAGCCCTGCGGTTTTATCGAAGTTAAACTCCGCCTTGGTCATTTCTTTTTAAAGCCAAGCCCGCAGTTGGCTTTCGGTGGCCGGCCGGAGAGTTTGTGAGGGGCTGTCATTGGTGTTGTTTGCTGGAGACGAGAGTTCCGAAAGCTACCATAGTCCATGGTGGAAACATTATCGCGAGATAGTAAGGTCTCGGCATTCGTGGAACCAATTCCGGAAAGCGAAAGCCACCAGGGCAGGAATGTGCGCGAAGGGACAAACAGACTCTTCGCAATTGTAAACTGATTCTCCACATCACCGAACCCTGTGAGACAGGAGGGAAAGAGCATGTTGGGGAACAGGGAGAGGTATCTGGACTATGTCTTCCCACGCGACTGTCCAGGCGGGAGCAAGCCGCCTTTTAGTCGGCCGTTCAGGCAAGAAAAGAAAACGATAGCATCTGCTGCTTAGTCTCCCAATCAGAAGGTCATTTAACATCAACGGATAACAATGCCGGGGTGTTGGAGCATAAGGCGGTTATACACCACACAGGAGAAGCCTCCTGATGATTGACACCGGGCTGGATTTACCGATTTCTCGGGACTTCGGTTGTTGAAGATGAAGCGTCCCACACAGTGTGAATAGCTCAGGACGGGACTGGGCCGAGTCAGGACGCTGGCCTTGAGGGGCAGCCAAGTAATTTAACTGGAGACTGCCAAGAGGTGAAGAGTTTTTATCTCACCCCTTTCCGAGCTGTCAAAGTTTCGTAGTTTGTTTGTAGTTGGAACCCATGAGGAATGACATTCATGCATGAAAAGCAGCCACTGCGACAGAGACAAGGCATGCATAAGGTTATTGTCATGAGATAATGCGAAATTAAGTTATGACGGATTCTTAGTTCGAGAGGATTCTGAAAGACGGGTAGTTAGACCAGAGACAATTACCGTAGGGGCGGCCAGAAATGTCGATCGCTTGGCAGTAGCGGAAAGTGATGCCTGGTTCTGCCGGGCTGCCGACGCTGGATGCGAAGGCGCCAAGAGCCCTACTCTTCATGGTAGCAATAATAGTGATCGCCACGAATTGTGGACCCCCTTAACGGCCATGACACCTTCGTTCCAGCGTGACGGTAACAATCCGGTCGTTATGGACAATGTCTCGAGCCGGGGGTCTACTCTAAGAGGAAACTCGTTGACGACAACCTATTTAGATTTTGCTGTTCTCGTGAGAGCAGCCGTGTGCTGGATCGACAAAGATCTATCATGGAGCAGATCTGTCCTGCGCTGACTCTGAGAGATCAGCAAACGATGCCATAACTGGACGAACCGACCGTGAGAATAATCTGCATGTGCTTGAGTCCACATGTTCTACTTGGATTTGGTCAGGCATATGATCGAATCTCGACATTCTTTGACTAAACCAATGTCCATTTTGCGCGATTGCGCTGTAATATATCGGCTCACAAATGTTTTAGTTGAGCCTTTCAGTACTGCAAATGCAATGTTTGGACGCATTTCTTTCTGGATCATATACATTTTGGCATCTGCGGCTTGTGATAGACTGCCCTGCGGCAATGTACACAATTACTGCGGTTTCATTTGTAAGCGGGCCACTTTGCGATGGCCATCTAACTCCCAAGTTGGGTGCACGTTTATGCAGAGAGTCATGATCTTCACAATGACAAGTCAGCCTACATAATAGCATAAGATAGCCAATCTTGGCAAGGTACATCTTGCTGTTTTGGTATGACCTTTGGCGCCAAAGGCCTTCAGAGCATGTGCTGTGATCTTCCTGAGACCATCAAAGTTGATAGTATTACAATTCAGGAAGTAGCTTGAGTGAGTCTCATTATTGGAAAGGGGTCTTCGCATACTGGCAGCGGCAAGTTGACTGCTTCTGACGGTTGTCAATCCAGTCTACACTGGTCTGCCAGGCATGTGAAGATTAGATACACCTGACAATCCGCCTGTTGATAGAGCCCTAGTTGTGAGCACAAGTCCATGCGCATGGGATTGTCAAAGGTTCACAAGACGTTCGAGGCTTTGCGCTGAATGTTTATGTGTGAGGCCATGATAAACAGACCAACAAAGAGATCAGAGTATGCTTGGTATCACCAGGACAGCATTTAGGGATCTCTCAGCGGGGCGTGTTCTCCTGCTGTAAAGTACCAATGAAAGAAGCTCATTAGCCAAGGAGCGTAGGTGTGTACCAAGGAATCTTATGTAGGCTAGTCCCAGGATTCTGCCAGGCCACCGTACCTAGTATGGAGATACAATATGAACTTATACACCCAGCCCAAAAGAAACCTGTTGGTGATCTTGGTAGTACGAGCGCAGACGTAGATGACGCGACTTGATAAAGCAGCGTCACCAGAGTGATACATTTGAAAATAAAACGAGCTGCATCGTGAACAAACGCATGCAACTCAAAGACACGACCTTTGGCAGAGGCGGAGAGTTGGCTGGCTCGACAAGAAGAGCAATACAGTCCCGACGTAGGTGTTCGAATGGATGGGGTTAGTAAGTATACTAGTAGTACTTTTGTCAGGCCAGTGGGAATCATTGGGAGGGTGTGATTCGTCGACACTTTCCTGTTCTGGGCAATAGCGCCGGTCAACTGAACTGCACTGCCGGTATTGGGTTGATTAAAACCGTTGGGTGGTTACACATCTCCACTTGGTCTGACTATACTGTTCCTGTGGACACCGCTGCATTCCTACAAAGTGGAATGTCAAAGAAGCACCAGACCTACGTTGCTGTTGTTCTTTTGATGCCAACCAGGCCCATCATGGTACATCTCGTGGGGAGCAGTTAAAACAACCGCCTCGACTCACACCAGCTGTTCGTTTCTATTCTTCCTACAAGGGAGGAACAAGTGGAGTCGATTCATATGGATGATAAGATGATGCATAGGACAAGCATACAGTAGTGCGGTGTACTAATGAAAAAGCCCTTATCAACTCCTCCTGAAGGCCATGATAGGACGGCGGCGTCAGGGATCCATTGATACTCAACACTAAACCGACCTATGTTGGGTGGCATTGCAGCAACAATGGTATCAGATCCTCATCATGGTGACACTCCAATACAGTCACCGAGTGAGCCGCGTCACCTCCAGGGCGCTTTTGCAGAATTCGACAAGAGTGCCTGTTTGGTGTTGACGGCTCTTGAAAAGTTGAAACTCATTCGGATACACTAGTGCCTCCCGCTTATTAAAGTGTTCCACCCTAAGTTGCTGGTTAGCCGCAACAGAATACACATGCAGAACACCGCACCGACAACGATTGATAAAATTACACTATCTCAGAAGGAGTCGGAGACACTTCTATATTTGCATGGTGCCATTACACCTTACACGTATCATCAGTGACGGAGAGGGTCCTTGCCGTGTGCTCATGCCATTCCATGGTTCCTCCCTCAGATACCGCATCGCAGCCGCGAGACCCAGAATACATACTTTGTAGTATCTGGCATTCCGATACTGCCGCTCAGGGACGATCGAGGCCCAGTGCAACTGGAGGCGGGTGCTTGCTTGACCCAATCGTTCTGTCCGAGTCCGCGATCGCCACGATCCTGCTATTGCTCGCCTGCGTGATTATTTCCTCTTGTTTATCTTCAAGGTAATCGATTACCCAAACAGAAAGCAATCTAGCGTCATGATTTACACTTGTAGTAACCCGGTGGATCCTCCAAATCAATTTCTAAGCCGATCCGCGAAGCGGGACCTTCAGGCTTCTGGAATCAATGGCATGGCACGCTCATTGTCTCTCGGCGATGCTAACGCGATACCGACTGGGGCGTTTCCCGCTATGTCAGTGAGAAAGAAAATTTGCGCTCCATAGTGGCCAGAAAGTTCGGAAATTTTCTGTTGGTGTGTTACTCGAGCAGTTCATTGTCGCTTGTCCACTGTGCAACATCGCTTACAACGAAAAAGACTGGAGTCCTGGTGACAGAAATTATTGTCCCCGCGGCCATGGTACTGCATGGGGAGTGGCCACTCCTGTTTGGTCCAAGTTTGACTCGCGGACCGCTTTCCTTTGGCCGCGGCACAAGTCGAACCCACATTTCCCATGCTCCTCCTCGCAGACCCGAGGTCCCGTCAGAATGCTTCTTCCCCTGACACCCTGCACCTTTGATAGGCCAATCTTACACGGCCTAACGATGGTGGTTTGAAGTTTCATCCTCGAATTGTGCCACCTGCGCTGGAAGCCAACTTGCCAGACTGTGGCAAGAGGCAAGATGATCCTATCCTCCCTAACTCAATGCTCCTATCTACCTCCCAGTGTAGACAGTCGAATTTAGGCTACCGGAACCAGTCCGTACCAGCCCGCTAGTAAATATTCCGAACCAAAAAACCCACGTTCGTCCCCTACGCTTGGCGTCGGGTCTCCCATCCAAACTTCAAGGTTTCAGGAACCACTTGTATATACTGCTAGGCCGCTATAGGTCAGAGTACTTGCTGACCTTGTCGACCTTCCCAGTTCAGACTTCAGAGCCCCCTGGTTTTGACTTCCGTGAGGGGCAACCCTGGGGGCTCTCCCTCCCATAGGACAGCACGGGATACGTCGGCCCAGACCGTGATATGGGGTAGACTAGCTTCGACTAACTGATTGACTTCCTAGTTTTCACTTTTTACTTCTGTAGGCTCATGAGCAGCAGGATCTAAAACTAATCTGGCGAAAAGCTTTGCGTGGTAAAAGGGCTGGCCCTCCACAGCATATCCACTCCCCGTGGCCGGTAGTTTAGCCTTCCATGTGCGTGGGTGGCTCGTCCATTTCCTACTTCCATCGCGCAATGTCCCCTTTCCCCTCTTCTTTTACCTTTTGACTGTTTCTTGGGTAGTCCTGGCAAGTACGTGCGAAGGCTTGACCCCTGACTCGAACACAGATCGGCCTTGCACTACTTTGCCCATTTTTGTCGACACTCCAGGAATTATCTAGATCGCCCCAACCCACTATCTTCCATCCGGGGCTTCTACAAAACTCGCCGTCCTATCTCCCGGGCCGAGCTGCAGCTTTCTCCGCCGCTTGAGGAAGAGAATAATGACCGCAGCCTACCCCGGCATCCGATTTACAACACCCGTTCAACAATGAGTCTTGTACATGTCTTGAGTGCCCTGGGGGCATTCGATGAAGGGGGACGCGACCTATTCCGCCGAACGATCTATGGCCCGGGTGGCGTCACTCTGGACATTGATCCCCTCCCCAGCACGCAGCGCAAAGGTCTTATTGCAGTCTCTGTTATGGCCGTTCTATCCTTCATAGCGACACTGGCCTTGATCTGTTTCATCAGCTATCGACTCATCTTCTGGCGCGGTTCCTATGCCCGGTATATCGGTTACAATCAATATGTCATTCTCATCTACAACCTCGTTTTGGCCGATCTCCAGCAAGCGCTCGCCTTCCTGATATGCATCAAATGGATCGCAGAGGATAAGATCTCCGCGGACTCGGCAGGTTGTTTCCTCCAGGGATTCTGGCTGCAGGTAGGAGACCCAGGAAGTGGACTATTCGTCATGGCGATCGCTTTTCATACCTTCCTTCTCGTCGCTCTTGGGCGGAAAATGAGCCATCGGGTCTTCGTCACCTTCGTCATTGGAGTTTGGATCTTCGTCGCCGTCCTAGTCATCATCCCTCTTGCTGCTCATGGCCGCTACGTCTTTATCCCATCAGGTGCCTGGGTAAGTCATCCTTCCTTCATCGACTGGGCCCACAACTAAACTTTCGCGCTTTTAGTGCTGGATCAGCGAAGACTACGAATCCATCCGTCTCTGGACTCACTATATCTGGATTTTCTTGGCCGAATTCGGCACGGTCTGTCTGTACGCGGTGATGTGGTTCCAGCTGCGGATCCGGATCAAGCAATCCGCCATTCTGGGCAGCAGTCACATCGAAAGTCTCAAGCGCCTTCGCCGCGTCATCGGATACATGGTTATCTATCCGATCGCCTATATTGTTCTTTCGCTCCCTCTGGCCGCAGGTCGAATGGCGACCGCGCAAGGCAACTCCCCAAGTGTAGCCTACTTCTGTGTTGCTGGTGCTTTGATCACCAGCTCCGGACTGGTTGACGCCCTGCTTTACACCCTGACCCGTCGCAACCTGATTCTGGAATCGGAGCCCAGCCACGATCGCAGTTACAACCGCTTCGCCAGCAGCAAGGGCCGAAAGACCACAGAAAACCATCTAACCACCATCACCGCGGACCCCAAGATGAACCGGACGGACATTAGCGCTCTGCGCAAGGGCTTACATCATGAAGATGATGATCTCGAGCAAACTGTGCGCGACGGCTCCACCGACAACATCGTGCAGACTGCCGGCGTTGAATTGACCCCCATGGGTAAGGTGTACCAACACACGACAATCGAGATTACCTCTGAACCTGCATTCGACAATGGAGTCGAAGAGAGCAGCGATCGCTCGAGCAAGGATTCAGACCGTCACCATGGGAGAATCAATGACTCGTCAGCACGGATGTGGGGGAGATAGTCGCCCACCGAATGTCTTCGAAATAATGCCCTTTTTTTTTTCCTAATTTTCTATGTTATACTACTTCTCACGCCTATATTTGTACCACTATATACGGTTTAGTTTATACTCGAGGTGGCAGCTATTCCAGACCAGATTCACCTTCATTCTCTGACGACCCCAACATCTATCCTTCGATCAGAAGATCTACCTCTATCCCTCTCCGCGGAGGGCCGCGGAGGAGCATGCGAATCCTTACCTTTCATCTTGCATACATTGTTATGCACATGTATATACCTTGCACCAGACTTTTCCTTTTCTCTCTCTTCTTCTCTCCGATTACTACCTCTAGGAATGATACCAGTCTTCTTTCTTCTTTCGTCTTGGGTTAAATTGAGCAGAAGTGGTGCACTGCGGAATCAATAAAAGTTCTTTCCGTTATGATGAAATCTCATTTTCCAAGTAGTGATCTTTCCAGTCCCTTGCCTTCTTTTGCTACATGATGTAGTACTTACTCTATTTCGTCCACAATTAGACAGTACTGGCGTTTCTAGTTTAGTTCTTGATCCAAGAATACCGTTCTAATAAGACTATATATATACTATGATGAGAATAGAAAACCATGGCTAGTCAGTCAGTGTGCTATGTCTGAATAGGTATATAGTAGTAAGTACTAACTAAAAATAAGTATTTATCGAAAGTACAGAAAGTTGATCGTTTTTCGCGTAATGATAATAAAAGGAAATGGGGTAGTTGCGAAACACATGGGATGATTGGGATCATCATGGGGCGATCGGTGGTAACTTATTGATGGAGTAGGTGTTAGTAGTAGTAGTAGTAGTAGTAGTAGTAGTAGTAGTAGTAGTAGTAGTAGTAGTAGTAGTAGTAGTAGTATAGTAGTGGTAGTAGTAATTGAGGGAATTTGGTACGGTAAATGAAAGGAAGTGATTAATGAGTATGTTATTTGTGGGTTATGCATGAATGACTGCTAGAGAGTCGCTCGCTGGGTCGGCAACCACGCTTCCTTTCCTTAGTCAGTGAGTGGTGTACAAATTACTTTCAAGCTCGTTCATGTCAAAATCTCGCTTTCTCTTTTGATGTGACTGCCTGGATGCGATGGTGACGTGGATAGATAGCTGCAGTGCGAGTGAGAAGTTAATTGGGGCATTTAAGCCACTGCATGGTATGACGCATTACCAGCAATTGAGAAAAAGTTATGCCTCAATACTGCTTCTCTGGAGGGATCACTCGAGAATATACGTTGTAAATGTCTGTCCGCTATACTCCTGGTCTTGACGATTGGGTAGGACAATGTTTCATGCTTGGCATGAGGTTCGAGAATACATTCATTATCATGCCGTACACGCCTCATCTTGTCGCTAGAGAGCTGGAAGTGGCCAAATTTGTAAACGATTAAATGTTATGCCATAGGAGTTGTGATAAGCGACAGGGGTTGAGCACAGTCTCTGATCGTTACTTTTGGATTTCGAATACTGGGGGCCTCGATGGTATTTCGAGCAGAATAGCCGCGTGGGGAGAGCGGGGGTGGAGCCGAGCTCCGAACAGCAAATGAGGAGCCTACGTTCATGACTCAAGGGCGTGACCGGGATGATGTACATATAAAAAATCGTGAATTCTCAAGGATATTTCTGTTTTCTCTTTTTTATTAATCATGGCAATAATTCCATTCCATTGCTCCGGATAACTGTTGTACTGATTCAATTCTGACATGGAGCAACATGTTGCACTGTGCGCTGTGACTGTGGTGGCGATCTGGGTTTTGCAGGTATGCATGTCTGCAGCGCAGCAGATCCTCTGCAGGATGCACCCTACAATGAGACAGTTACTGACCAATGGTATAGTTTACTTACAAGTTCTTCAGATCTCCCCTTCGTCACATACCGGGACCTCTGTACACAAGAGTAACGAGGTTGCCACTGAAGTTATCGATCGTTACGGGAAAGCGCATCTACTTCATCCACGATCTGCACCAGAAATATGGCCCTGTAGTGCGTATCGCTCCGGACGAGGTTTCTATTTCCTCAGTGCCCGAGTTCAAAGAGATCCATCGTGTCGGGTCGGCCTTCCTGAAGACCCCATGGTATCAAAAGTTCTCCTGGGACCGAAATCCGGGAGTCTTCACTATGCGGGATCCCAAGGAACATGCTGCGCGTAGGAAGTTGTTTGCGCGGGCATTCTCCAAATCCGA